AAAAAAAAAAAAAAAAAAAAAAAAAAAGGGAGGGCTTACGTTTTCCTCAGTGCAACAAATGAATTCAGCTCTTTGATCTGCAAATGAAACTATTGTAATAAGTACAAGATCACTTTTTAAAAAAATAATAATAAGCAGAAGATTAATTAAACTTCTAAACCACTGTAAATACAGGTTGCTCACGAAAAATATGTAGAGCAATAAAAAAGATCGCTGGCAAAATTCTATCATGCAACATCAACAAGTGATATATGTAACTCGCAGGGTATAGACAACATTATCAATTATAAAGGTAAACTCGTTCCAAAGTCCAATACTCGAGGAAAAAACACATTAAAAAAGTACACTTTTATCAACAAGCAACAGGAGACTAAAATCCTCAATAATCAAATAATGTTCCGACATCTTTGTTAGAGGCAAGCTGAACCCAATGCTAGATGAAATAATGACAACTAAGGCTTCCTAAATCAATAAGCCAATTCATATGTTTCCCAGTTCTTTTTTCTAAATAATGTATATTTTTGTCGGTTCATATAACTACATCGCTACAATTCTCCATCCTCTCAATGCTCCTGCAATTGACACAAGGACGCCCAGAGCAGTTAGAAATAAAAAAACTCAGAGATGTCTCAAGTTCTATATATATATATATATAAACTAGATTTTGTGCTTCATTTTGAAATCAGTATTCTATCCAGCATGAACGTAAAACACATAAAATGTTTTCTAAAATTACGACCAAGGCTGTTGACAACAAACAATAGACAATGCATGATGCCTCCATTCAAACAACCATTTTGAGTGATAATTATTCTATCCTAAAATTGAACTGCGAGCAATCTGACAAACAGATACAAATAACTCATGAAAAGAAAAGGGCATTTAAAGGCAGATAATCCCATAACTCCTCTATATTACCTCTTGTCCACGTAAATAATCCAACTCCTAGGTTTCCTAATCTCCCAAAAAACAGAAATGCAGACAGCAATCAGCGAAATTGTCTTGCCTTGCGTCCCACCACAGCAGAGGGGCAACTCTGATACAGAATTGGTGATCCTCCAAAGATTTTCTCAACTGGACTTGGCAAAGAGCAGTGGAAGAACAAACAATCTAGGCCTTTCCACTTTCTACATATTTTTCATATTTAGGGCAAAATATACTTCGTATAAAAACAATCCAACCCGTGAACACCCATAGAAACAAGTATTTGGTATTCACCTATTCACTCTACGTAAAAAGACCCAACTTGGATAATTGGGAATTGGCTAGGTAGTTTGTACAGTGCTTTGGCACTCTTTGCCATTCTCTAAAATAATAATAGACCTGGTACTACCAGTTCTGTTAACAAACTTATCGCAACTGATAAAAATTCTCTTAGACAGATCTGGTGCATACACACATCTAATATTGTCATCTCATTCTCCTATGAATCTTGAGTCAAATGGCTCATGAAAGGAGATTGAAAACTGCATCTTCTATACTGAATACATTGTGATACATCATGCATTAAATTACAAATCAATCCACACTCTAGCTAATGATTTGGAAACCTCAATCAAAATATCAGATGACTCATATTGGTTCAGTTAAGCTGTTAACCGTCAAGCTTTATACAGCTACTTTCTTCCCTAGAGCGTTCGAAAGTTAAAATAACAATTAACTAACCATTGATTGCTTCTCATCGTTGAGCTGCTTATTCACTTCCGGTGGATTTTTACTCTCTTCATCCTTGAGTTCACGGTCAAAATCTTTAATTAATCTGCAAGAATAGCTCCATTTTGTGACTAAAACCAGAACTATAAAAAATATTTACAAAAAAACATTAATAAACTAGGAAACATGTCAATTGAGCTTCATTTTTTCTCAATTTACATGTTTAGCCAGCACCTAAAGTAGTCTATGATTCCAGTACTCAATGCAGAGGCTATGTAAGCATGACTCAAACAGCAATTTTCTTTATAATTCAACAAGAGAAGCTCCCACATGCTCAAAGAATCATGGGCTGGTTTTACCATACCTTTTACATTCTCTCATCTTTCCTGTGAGCTCCTCCAACTGCTTACTTTGTCTACTGGAATCTCTGATATTATCCAGTCTTTGAAACCCATTTCTGAGAGACAGTAGAAATCAAAGAGGATATCATAATGCAGATACATAGGATAAACACAAGAATGCTGATATTCAATAAATGGAAACAACTTCAAGTGATATTGCAGCATTGCCACACAATCAACCAAATTTAGGACTAAGTTTAGGATGATATTGAATAAATGGTATCAACTTCAAAGACTTGTACGCTCTAAGGTTCTCATCGAGCTAGTGTCATCCAATTTAATAGAGAAATTTAGAGAACCATGCGTATGACCTTAGCTCCACGGATTCACAGTACTTAGCACTTAATCTACTCAAGATTCCATTACACAAGGACTTTGTTTAAAGTTTTCTGTTCTTTAAGAAAGTTAAGCTCGCCTACATTTTGTGGTTTAATTTTCACTTTTCAAAAAAGAGGATTAGAAATCACTCAAATTTAAACAAAATAAAACGAGGGAGTTTCAAAACTTCATTTTTCTTAATTATATTACGAAAACAAAAAAAGGTAGTTTTAGTAAATCAGCATAATATTAGAAACAAAACATTTTCAAATGAGCCCTAAGTTCTTCTCCAAATCCCCAAAGAGGAGGTTTTACTGATGGTAGGATTCTAGAATTCCCCGACAAGTGTTAACAACATCACTTTTTGTGGTTTAACTCCTACGAGGAATAAGATCGAGGAAGGAACACAAGTCTCTCAACTAGTATCACTTCCAAAAACAAATTACACAATCGAATAGGAGAAATACCTACTGTGAATTGGTCGTGAGTTTTACGCAAAGAAAAAGGAGCTACAGATAGAAAAACGTAAAGCAAAAGCACAAGAACCGACATTAACACAAAAAACGAAGAAAATCAAGAGTAAGGTGAATAAAACATACGAAAGCGCCCGAAAATTGTCACGAATTTCACCATGGATCTGCTCTAACTGAGGATTCATCTGCAAGCCGCTGGTCATCTCGCCGGAAGTGTAAGTTGCAACAATCTATACAGTTTATTGCATCTACAGAATTCGAAACAGCATGGAATCCAAGTAAAGTAAAAAAGGAAAAAAAATAATAATCCGAACGAACCCTAGTGGGAGTGGAAGTAAACTTGGTGTAATCAAAAAGGAAAACAAAAAAATGGTGAAAAGCAAGATGGAAGAGAGAATCGAAGAACGCAAAGCGGAATTCAAAACAAAATTAAAGGCGGAAGTGGAAGAACTCTGATTCACGAAAATGGGGATGGAGGAGAGAGAGGAAGAACATGGAGGAAAAGAAAGAGAGAGAGAATATGAGAGATAGGCTGGCGAATGGCAATGGGCAGCGGGCAACGGGCAGTTCATAAATTAAAAAATTAATAAAATTAAATAATTTAATAAATTTGGAATTAAGTTACAAAGAAGGAATATTAATTAATTAATTAGCGGCTGAGGGAATTTTAGAAACAGACGCAGAAAACAGAGCGCCGTGTTGCCGTTGCCATCGACTCTTCGTTAAAAAGGTCAAACAAGGGTCCCCCTTTGGGTTGGGTTTGATTGGAGGGCATTTTTGTCTTTTCCTTTCTCTCCGCCCACCATTTTAAACCCGTCACCGTCACACCGTTCACCACGTCAACCGTTCGATGTAGATTAAAAATTTTATAAACTTCTATCTAACTCATTTTAACCGGGATCAAAATTCTTGTTACTAAAGGAGAAAATGGGAACCCGTTTTAGCCTCCGACCATGTTCAAATCTCCGCTCCACTCCCTTTTTTTAAATAAATAAATTTTGTTACCTACAAGGAATTCGTTCCTCGGAAAAATAAATGAAATTTTTCACAAGAACGAAGATTGAAACCGGAGTGGAAACGGGATGTGTACAAACAATATATATATATATACATACATTATACATACAAAATATATATAATCTATCTATCTGTGTGTATGTACAAAGAACTCGTCCCTGTATATATATGTATATATATGTGTATATATATGTGTATATAAATGTGTATGTATATATATATATACATACGTACGTATGTACGTATGTATAAAAAAAATTATATAATTTTCCTATCGATAAATTTATTTTTTCTGTTCAAAATTATTTATCATATATCAATAAATTATTAAAAAAAATATATATATGCGGTTCAAATTTTAAAGAATTTAATTAAAAAAATGATAATGATTTTTATTCAAATTTATGAATTTTTATAAGGTATTCAATAATTAATTATTCAACTAACTTGAATTTATGGATATTTTTGCACAATTCCCGATTAAAAGTCAGCAAAAGTATTTTTTTGACTGTTTAATTGGGATTTCTTTCCAAATTTTCGTGACATATGAAAATGACCGAAATACCCTCACTCTACTCCACTTTTGTATGGTCGGTGTAGTCGGAAACTACCACCGCCTCTTATCGGCAAGAAATAAAAAAAAAAAAAAAAGTGTATTTTTTTTTATAGGTCGTGACATTCTTTTTTTTAATTTTTTTAGTCATCATATTCTCATTATCACTTTCATTTAAATGTAGTCTCCGTTCATTCATATATCTTTCATTTATTCGGGCATCACTAATATATTTATATTATGTATATTTTTTAATGTTATTATATTATTTTTCAAAGTTAGATGCGAATTAATGATAAAGACAAATTTTAGATTTATTAATGATAAGACTATATATATAATCACCAATTTTATAATTAAAATTACAATTTTCTGTGTGATCCCACAAATAACAAATATATAGACGACCATAGTCTATTAGCCACTTGCCATCACTGAGCCCTGTCTCGACGGGATGCCTAAATCACTTGATAATATTTTACATAGCTGCACGTTTTTAGCATAACGTTAGGTCCCGTTTGGTAAAAATTGCAAGAAGTAACGTTTTTAGCCCTGTCTCGATGTTAATGTTTTTTTATTCTCGCTTGACTTTGATTTCTTCGAGCCAGTGCTCCAAACAACCTGTAACGACCCAGACTCACAACTAGCAGAGATTGTCCTTTTTGGGCTTTCTCTTTTAGGCTTTCCCTCGAGGCTTTAAAATGTAGGGGAAGGTTTTCACACCCTCATAAATGGTATTTTGTTCTCTTCCCCAATCAATGTGGGACTCTCACAATCCACCCCCTTTCGGGGCCTAGTGTCCTTACTGGCACACCCCCTTCGGGGAACAACCTCCTCACTGGCACATAGTTCGGTATTTGGCTTTGATACCATTTGTAACGACTCAGGCCCACTGCTAACAAATATTGTCATCTTTGGGCTTTCTCTTATGGGTTTTCCCTCAAGGCTTTAAAACGCGTCTGCTAGGGGAAGGTTTCCAAACCCTTACAAAGGGTGTTTCGTTCTCCTCTCCAACCAATGTGGGACTCTCACACAACCCGACATGTTTTTTTAAAATTTGATTAAGAATTCAAACTTTTGTGGAAGAACCGTGAAATCTTAGTAAGAAAATCAGAAGGAAATGAGCATAAATGTCAAAACCCGAAAACTACAAAAGATAGCTTATCGAACAAAATCGAACCACCGATTAGGTTAAAGAGTAAAATAACGTATCTCGAGAAAGGAAGAAAGGGCACCTGTCTATATGAAGATGATTCTCCTTGCACCTTTCTTAATTCTATAACATATAGTGAAGGGCTTATCTCAAAAACCTACAAAAAAAAAAAAAAAAAAATAAATAAATAAATAATAATAATATAATTAGAACAATTTAAGGTTCAAATTTACCTTTGCTGATACTGAAAGTATAATGGCCACACCATTCTGCCCCTTGTGCTCTCTCATTACTTTCAACTGAAAACAACACAAAATAGCTTCAAAAGTAAACCCTAATTTCACCGTCCAAAACCCGAAACCCGAGACTCGAAATCTTTATAAAAAAACAAACAATTGGCTCGAAGAGTGTGTTTGAGAGTGATTGAAATGGTTAAGATTAGCATCGTTGTATTTAAAATCACTTTGAAACGTGTTAGTTCGAAAGTCAATTTCATGTTTGACCATCAGAAACGACATTTGTTGGGATGATTTTGAATATGGTAAAAACGATTTTAACTGTTTAAAAATCACTCCCGAACATGTCATAACTTATTCTCGAGTAGTGGGTATGCAATTGGAATGTTCGTGTCTAAAAACCCTAAATTTTAGGCCTGGGCTATAAAGGAATTACGGTAAACATTACAAAGAAAAAGAAAACTTATCCGAGCATCCTATTAATTCATCAATAACCTAAAAAATGTAGGCACCAATTGGTAACCATATCGTTCCGTATCCTACATGTTTATCTAGGTCATGATTTCGGTCTTGTCGAGTATCTAAGTCTCAACCCACACAATTCCGCTCGCTTTCAGTCCATACATGATCACTTAAAACACTATATTCTCTTATGATAGAAAAGGGTAATAGGAAAAAGGACGATGACAACAAACCCACTCACGATCTACTAAAGGGTCCGGAGAAACTTGTTCTCGGGATACTAAAGGGTCGAGTAGGTCAAAAAGAAAGAGTCTATAGTCAGGTCGGATACTCGACTTTCTTTATTGAGATAACGAAAGCTTCTCGTACCAAACCAACTTCAGCTAGGAACAGGTCGACCCATTTTCAAACAGAAAGAAGTACCTCACCTCACTTACGAGCCTAATTTTCTACGACCCTCGACCCGATATCAATTCTAAAGGTAAATAAAACGTTTAAAAAGTTACTAACCCTTCCTTCTTTCTTGTGGACAAGAAACCCCATTTCTTTGACAAGATCCTCCATCCGATTGAGGATGTCTTCTTTGGCTGAGTGAATGGTTGTAAATCTAATCTTCCTCTCAGAAATATCCTGCATTAATTTTACAATATAGTTTAATTAAAATCATAACTGTCACATTGCATTAATTTTACAATATAGTTTAATTAAAATAATAACAATTAACAAAGGGATATCATTGCATTAATTTTACAATATAGTTTAAATAAAATAATAACAATGTAATATCATTTCATGCTCACCTCTTTCTCAAATAAGCCTGAAAGATCTAGACATGATGACATTCCAATCAGTTCAAAAGCGTTTATAGTCGTGGGAGATCTCGGACTCCTTTCCTCGAGATAAGATGGCTGGCCCAAAACCCAAAACACACGTGTTAAAATCAGTTAACCGAGCTGGGTAACCTAAAATTACTCAATTGAAGTTGTCACAACGTGGCTACTGTTCGAGATATCGTTTGTTTCTCACAAACATTAAGATAACGAGACCAGATGTTTAATAATCATTAGAAGTAGATACGAGACGTATCAATAAATTTGATATACTTTTGTAGTTTCTCTCTCATGTGTCTAGCTGTTCAAGACGGTTAGTGACATTGTAACTAGAGATATCCATTTAACTCGTAGGGACCGGCTCCAAACGAGGTGGGAGAGACCTCACTCTGTTAGCTAAACAGGGGCAGGAGTGGAGATTGTATTTCCTATTCTCGTCCTCACCCCCGAAATACTATTGGATTTACGGGGATGTTTTATATAAAAACAAGAAAAAAATTTCCGGCAGAAAACCTAATTTTCGTGAAAATAAATGGAAAATTTCGCAGAGATGGGGCTAAAATAGCTTCCCTATCCCCGTCTTGTCTCGGGACATCTCTAATTATGATGGGTTCCTCGAATAAATTCTTGTACCAACGACAAACCTAAATCGACGAGCCTTACCTCTTGATGCGTCGGGATGGCCTCACTTTGAGTGTTTATATCCTCCTCGTCATCGTCAAGGTAGGCTGGATTGTAATCCTTTCTAAACCACTCGTCCATTTTGATACTTGCCATAGTTATCCGAGAAATAGGGTTAGGATCAAGAATCCTTTTGATCAAATTTTGAGCCCCTTGTGATAGCCATTTGGGTAGCTGCGTTTCACCCTTCAAGATCTGAAATTCCAACACGGAAAATCGTTGCAAAATCGTTATAAACAAAAGTACACGGGCTAAATCGTAATAAACTTAAGTTCAAGGATTAGATTGTTATTTCTACGAACGTTCAAGAATTGAAAGTACGTGGACTATATTGTTATAAAACTAAAGTTCAAGGACCAAATTGTTATTTTGACTAATGTTTAGGAGCTAAAAGTGTTATTTTACCTCATGTAGTGACGCAATGGATACATGATTGAACGGAATTAAAGAATATTACGTAGTTACCTTATTGTAAAGGACGCACAAATTTCTATCTTCGAAAGGAAGCGATCCAGTAAGAATTACGTATAAGATAACCCCACAAGACCAAACATCAGAGGCCGCACCATCATACCCTCGGTTAGCTAGAATCTCAGGTGCCACGTAGTTTGGGCTTCCGCACGTGGTGTGAAGCAAGCCATCATTCTACGCAATTAGGGCAAGGGTTAACAATTTTTTCATTTGTTTCGTGCAACGACTCGACTTTCTAAAACCCTAGACCGATTCGGACCCATTATCATACGCATGTTTACGTCAAAATGATGTAAGCATTTATATGGTAACGAGCCCAGATCAATCAAAGGTTTTAGAATATCGAATCATTACATTTCGATATCCCTCTAGCTCGTATGTTGCCTCTTGCCCTCGTTCCTTCTTTTCCCGAAGCAAGTTCTCGATGTGAGAAGGAGCAAGAGCGAGAGAAAACATAGAGAGCGAGGAAGTCGAAAAACAGGGCACGAGAGCACGAGAATGTAAGGTCGTCTTAGCTACTATTCAAACCATGGTGGCTTACTACTTACCCTTAAATGCTCGGGTAATGCACTTAAGCCAAAATCAGATATCTTAATATTTCCCTTCGCATCAACCAATATGTTCTCAAGCTACATAGTATAACAAAAAAAAACAAAATGAATCAAAGCCAAAAATACGAAACCTTATATCTACCGACGGTAACTTTGAATTAACGTACCTTAAGATCCCTATGGTAAACGCCTTTCCAATGGCAGTGACTCACACCGTCAATTAACTGTTGGAAGATTTTTCTACCTCGATCTTCCGACAGCTTCCCGTTGGATGCCTAAATCATTAACGATCGTAGAATGTCAAATCCAGCATTTAAGCTAACTCGGGTACAACTCAGTAAATAAGACGTTAAACTTACGATTCTATTAAACAATTCTCCCCCGTTCACATACTCGAGAACCATGTAAATTTTGCTTTTACTGGCCAACACCTGCGTGAAATATAAACAGTAATTACGATTAATTATTTTAAAAAATAAAGTTATTATATTTATTTATTTATTTATTTTTGGATAAATGTTAATTAAAAGATTCCAAGTCTTTATAAACATAAATAATATAAAAGGCAATGAATTGATACAATATAGTAACGGCTGAAACAAGCAATTCATTAAATAATGTATTTAGCTAATTAATTATAATTATAATTAATTTAGAATGGGTTATTTTTAGTAATTATAATTCAATTATGTTAAATAATAAATTTCTAGATACATTGCATTTATTTTTTAAAATTAATTTTAATTCTTTTATTAATAAGTGTAAATTGATCATTTATTATCTTTTAATTATTAATTTTAGAAACATTGTATCCAATTTTTTGAAATAATTTTAATTTTTTATTAATTAATTTAGTATATATATTATTTAAAATTTTTTAAAAAAATTTAAAGTTTAATTTTATATTTTAAATTCTATTTTCAATCATTAAACTAATTAATTTATTTATTTATTCCAAAAAAAAAATAATAATATTTTTATATATAAACAAGAATTTGAACCGAAGGTTGCGAACCGCTTGGACGTTGTTCGGTTCGGTTTAGTGCTCTCGAACCGAACCGTGAGCACCTATAATTTTCATATTAAAAAATTAAAGTAATAAAAATTTATAAAAATTTAAATAACATTAAAAATATATAAATTTAAAATTAAAGTATAGTTTAACTAAACTGATGACGTGGCAGACATAAAATAATTATAATTTATTGGGCCAAAAAGGGAAACCGTTACTCCACCCATCTGTACGTGAAACACGAGACGTAAAACGAAAACCACAAGCAATAATAATAATAATTATTATTTTTTTAAAATTTTTTATTATTATTATTTCTTCCAGAACAAGCAATTATCTTGACACGTAACTCCCCAAATTGTGGAACTGAAACAGCCACCCACCCAAATCCACGTCAGATTTAAATTATTTTAATTTTAATTTTAATTTATTCTGTTTTTATTTTAAAGTCATATTTGAAAATAAATTATTAAATAAAAATTTGAAAGAAATTTAGAAATCAAGCAGTTTTTAGTTTTTTATTATATTTAAATGATTTTTTTCTTTATTAATTAATAAATAATTCTGATGAAATTTTAAGAGAAAATTTTGATTTTAAATTAAATTTAATAAAAATAGATATAAAACACTAATAAATGGACTAATTTCATATTTTAAATTTATATTATTATTATTTTCTCTTACATTTATCGAAATTCAATAATAAATGCATACCAATTAAACAGAAAAGGAAATGAAATTTAATTTCTAATATTTATAATTATTATTTTGCATTTATTTTTCACTGTTTAAAAAGGAAAAAAAAGAGCAAATAAAAGTCAACATCTTGGGTGAGCAACCAACCATTTTTTTTGCGTGTTCCAATAATAGTTTTTATTTATCCTTAAATTAAATTTTTAATTAAATTTAATAAATATTAAAATAAAATCAAGGATAAAATGAAGGGAGAACATAGCCGAGGGTAAAAATGTAAAATCATATATGAATTGAATGAAAATAGAAATAAAATATTTAAAAAGGAAATTTATATTCGAATAATACCTCGTGTAGCCTCACTATATTTGGATGCTTGAGAAGCTTCAGCGTCCGTATTTCCCTTTTAAACTGCACCGTTTTAATGGATGCCAGAGAAAACTTAATTAATATATAATAAAAAACAAAAATTCATTTATCCATCCTTCAAAATTACAATATTACCCTTTATTGAATGGTGAAAATTTTGTACCAAAAGTATTTATGAACCAAATGGTTAGGACGTCCTTGATGTCGGAAAAAAGTTTTAAAACTAATAGAAATTCGGGTCGATCATCAATGAACTAATATTTCGGATTTGGTTAAGAGACGAGATTGAGAACTATTCTGGTCATCGGCCGTCGTCGAGTGACAAGAAGAGATAATTTCGAGAGGAAAAATTTGAGTTGTTTATGTTAAAATGTGAGAAGATTAAGAATAATCGTGTCTTGAAAAGAGTTAGAGACCCGAACACTCTGACACGATTTGAAGCGGTTGGGTTAGAATTGGAAGGAAGGAAGGGGAAGGACCTGATCGGAGATATTGAGGTCGATGATCTTGGTCTTGTCGAGGACCTTGACAGCAAAAGGCTGATCCGTTTCAAAATTGATAGCTAATTTGACCTTTCCGAAGTTCCCATGCCCCAGAGTTTTCCCCAGCTCGTACTTCCCCAGTCGCACACGCGCCGCCCGATCTTCATTTTCCTCGCCGCCGCCGCCCACCATCTCACCCCTCTCCGCCCTCTCTCCCAATTATCTTCTCTCCTCTCTCTCTCTCTCTCTCTCGCTCTCTTTATATATATATATATATTATTATAATTCTAAATCTAACCACATGCTTTGGTGATAAATATTTCCAAAAACAAATATTAAAAAATTCAATCCAATTAATTTGTGTTTATTTTTTATTAGAAATTAAAAAAAAAAAAAATTGGGATTTTTAAAAAATTTACCAATTTGTTTATTTCTGTTACAATTCAACTCAACTGAGTCCCGCTCTACTTTTAAAATTATTATAAAAATTAAGAATATTTGATATTTGTAATTATTATAACTTCTGTTTGATATTTAAATGTTATGATTTTATTTATTAATGTAATATTTACGCTGGATAAGTATTTTTTTTTAAAATAATTAAAAAAAAAAATCCGACAACTCAACTCGAAAAATAGAGGGTTAGGTTGGGTTGGATTGTGAACTCTGTTCGGGTTGTTCGGTTCACTAACTTAACTAGAACGGTGATGAGGTTAAATTTTTAATTATGTGGTGGCGAGGCCATAAAGAAATAAAGAAAGAGGCCCACCACGAGTAAGTCGCATCCACACAACAAAATTTATCTTTTATGGACCCATCACCATCATTAACTTCCATCTCACGTTTTTTTGTGGAGACCGGCCACCGTCTTCCTTTCACGTGTTTCGGTTCGGTTTGCCCATACTAAAAAGATGACACTTCGACCGTTTAGAAAAGTATAATTAAATTGTTTAGAAATATTCAAAATATGTCGTCGGAAAAAGCGATCCCGAATCGACCTTAACTTATAAAAGATTATCGAATATTACTAGAAATGTCCATTGACAAAAGAGCGGGAACGATATACATTTTTCATCCCGATCTCTGCCTCATATTTTATTTACCATATATTCTCTATTTATTTTTTTTTTCCGTCATTCCTCCATGGTCGGAATCTTTAAAATAACATTAAAAAAATGATATACTTTCTTTCGGGACCCAAGTCCTCGTTGGCACTCTCCTTTCTCCAATCGATGTGGGACCTCACCAAATCCACCCCTTTGGGGCCAGCGTCCTTACTGGCACACCGCCTCGTGTCTACCCCTAAGAAGGGCGAGAGAGCGAGAAGACTAATACATCGTTCGATGTTTGGCTTTAATACTATTTGGTAACGGCCCATGTCCACTGCTAGCAGATATTGTTCTTTTTGAGCTTTTTCTTTCGGGATTCCCCTCGAGGCTTTAAAACGCGTATGCTACAGGAAGGTTTGTAGACAAGAGTGTTTTGTTCTCCTCCTCAACCGAACATTACAATAACTTAATATTTCATAATTTTATTTAAATTGGGTCGGGTTCATTATTAAATAAGAATTATCTGAACTAAAGAATTTTATAACCGGAATAATTATATTAAATCTAAAATGCATCTCGACCCGACTCAACTCAAATCCCGACACACTACAAGATATCTTTCCATGTGATTGTCATGTGATATATCTATAATTAGGGCAAGCTAATTGTTCTTTTCAAATAATAATAATAATAAATATAAAAGATATTATAATTAGGATGGATTTGAAATTACTTTTTAATTGCTTAGAAATTACGTTAATTACAAAACAAAATTTGTTGGATTAATTTACACATTTGCCCCTATATTTTTTTTAAAATTACAATTTACGAGGGACTAAATTCTAAATTTAATCAAAATATAGGGACTAAATTTGTAATTTATTCAAAATATTTTTAAACTCATTAAAATATCAATTAAATCCGACAAAGATTCGACCCATTTTAAAATAACTCGTTTGTACCAAACTCAACACATGTTTCTACTCAGTAAGCGACTTACGGTTTTTTTAAGTGATTGTCGATTGTTGGTCGAGGTGGGGCAACGTTTAGGAGCTTTACAGTCGTAGAGGAGGGTCGTCTCGAGTCATCAATCCTATGTATCAGGGTTGTTGTCGGTTTTTAGATCTCAATCCCCAGTTCTCTGTTTCGTAATAAACTTTTAAACAGTACGTGTAAATGTCATACTGTTTGTTTTTGAATCTGTGTAAAATTTTAACGTATTTTTTCCGTTGTTAGTCTATCAATCCACGTCTCGATCCCTTATTCGAAGTCTCGAGAATCAGATCAAATCAAATGACAAAACATTAATTATCATTTCAAATGGTTCGGTTTCTAAACCAATTATTAATCGAAAAAGAAAAAAAAAGTCTTCTTTATCGCTTAGTGACCATCTAAAGGGTCCAACAAATACATTAAAATTGTCGGCTTAAAGCAAAGAAGTCATACATTTTGGGTCACACTATTTTGTCCCTTTTTTAGCTTAGCTGTCTTTTTAACTTTATCGGCATGCTAATTATCGATATTTAACCTCAAATTTTTACCGTTGCGGTAATTTTTTTTTTTTTTTCACGATCGAGGAAGATTTCTTTCGAGTGTGAAAATACCATTTTGGTCATTATACGTCGTTTTCAAATTTCGATTTTAGTCTGTTTTCTTTCGAAACTGGATTTTCTCTTGATCGATCTCTTCTGGTTTTTCAATTTTAAAATAATGCAGCGTTATATTATTGTAAATTATCTGTTCCGAACATTTTCTAAAAGTAGACAGGGAGGAACGAAAATAGTGGTCGATCGGAAGAGCCTTAGGCACCCGAGATAAGAGCGGGTTGTCTCGAGAAAATGGTCGGGAGATACTTCCAAAAGAATCTTGAATTTAGTAGTTGAGAATTTATTATTATTGAGATTTGTTAAAATAATAATAATAATAATAATTTTGGTAAGAAAATAATAATAACAATTTGTTCAAATATTGATTAAAAATAATGCTGAGAATTAATTTAATTTAATTTATCTAATTAATGAAAAATAATTAATCAATTATAATATTAATAATAAAGACTGAAATTAATAATATTGTATAATTTAAATAAATTATTTAAAACTAGTACGTCAAAAAAATTATTGATATTAATAATTAATTAAAAGTAATTGGTAATGAAAAGTTAATATTTAATTAATTAATTAATTATGATGAAACAATTCATCTATATGGATAATAATATCTTTCTAATTCAAAAAGTGAAAATATTTATAAAAAAAAAAAAAAAAAAAAAAGAAGTTGTTCGGGCGTTTTCCACGTACCACACACTACCCAGTTAGTTCTCGTAAATATATGCATATATGGGTACATGTTTTGTGTCATGGTCATGTTTGTCCGGGACGTGTTGTTCATATCATGTCAAATCCTTTATTTGCTTTCATGTTGTATTGTTCTACTATTGTATTTTCTGTTTGTATGATCGTTCGGCGAAATCATGTCTAGACGAATCAAACCTGAATCGTCTCAAAATGTACTAAAGGGTGACCAAGTATTGAACCGCCCCACCACCCCAAACCTTCCACCGACCAAGTATTGTAACCTCTCTTGCCTACGTGATTTCAATGCAATTGACTTTCGAAATGCTTAACTTTCAACTTGTATTTAATGATTTTCCTCGACCACGTTTTAAAAAATATTTTCTCTCAAAACGTGGTTAGAGGCTAGACCATACGTCAAAATTGACCACAAAATCCAACTTTCACATGACTAACTTACTCGATTGATTAAAACAAGCGTTGCACAATTGCTAGTCTACTGCTTAGAAAGTGCAATTGTGACACCTTGCGTACAAGTGACTGTGCTGGAAGTATCGATTTAATACCCACGAAATCGAGAGTTATAAAACTTCCGCTCATTTTAATTTGAAAATGACAATATAAATTAGCGGGTTAAAATATATATCATCAAATTAACGTGTGAGATTTAAATCTCACAATTAAAAAAATAAAAATAAAAAAGTTTGAAATTGAGATGAAATTGTTGAATTTATTATCATTCACATTTAATAATAATAATAAAAAAAAAATACATTTCACAATATCCGAACATTCAAGAGGCCTCACCGGCCACCCCACCAACGTGTTTAATATATTTTTTTTTTCCCTAAACGTGTTTAATTTTCTATAGCCAATTAAGTTTAAATATAATATATATATATATATATATATATTTGTAATTAATATATAAATGTATTTTATTCTAATAAAAAAATTTCAAAGCTTTAGAAGAAAAATAACTACATTTTTATTCTTTGATATATTGCGGATCTCCTATTTAAATGGATAAATTATCCATTTAAATTATGTTTAAAAATAAAATGTTTTGTTTATGCAGATTCTATCTATTTGATCCATATATATATATATATATATATATATATATATATATATATATATATATATATATATATATATTTGAAGTGTCACCGACCATATTTAATATTATCATTTAAATTTTAAGAAATTGTGTTGTAAATTATTATATTAATATTATTGAATGTTTTACTTTTTGAAATAAATAATCTTTTTTTTATAAAATAAATGTAACCAAATCTCCACAACAATAAATAAAAATTCTGGCAAAGAATGGAAATTAAAAAAGATGGCAGAGACTCTTATTTATTTATTATTTATTTTATTTTATCTGGGTGGATTTTATTTCTGGAGAGTATTGCTAAGACTTTTTCTAAAACATATATTTTACACAAAAAAAAAATAATAATAATAATAAATAAAAAAATAAAAATAAAAAATATACGAAAAGAATGGTAATATTCAAATGTATGTTTTGTTAACGCTTCATTTTGTTGCTTAAAAAATATTTTTGAGATTTTGTACTGTTTTTTTTTTTTTTTTTTTTTTTTTTTTTTT